TTCAATCGATCTATTTAAATAACATTAGGTTTAACGAGTACCTAGGTTTGCTGCTACAAGGAAACTAATAAAGTGTGTGTTTTAAGTAAAATAATTATTGATTAGTAGAAAATGAATATATTTGCCAAGTTTGATCAAAAGATATCCATAAACAAGCAAACTACAACATTTTACAATATTCTCCATAAGAATAACATGGGAATTTTAAATTTACAATTTTTTTAGTTTTCTCCGTAACCAATAACCGTACAAAAACACTTTGATATACTGAATTGTTTGTTTTTTAAGCTCTTTAAAAAGGTTTAGAGAAAAATTGGGAAATTTTGTGTTTTGAGGGTCAAAAGTGAGAAAAACCAATTTTTACCCCATAAAACCCCCCATAAAACCCTGTTCCCATGGTCCGATCATGCTGGATCGCGAACTCATTCAAGTTTATCCCGCCTTACACCTTCAAACCAAATTTCATCAAAATCGGATAAAAATTACTCAAGTTATCGTGTTCACGGACACATATATATATAAATCTATATATATATATATATATATCTATATATATATATATACATATATAAAAATTTGAACGAATGGTGTTTTTGGCCTCTGGGGACATCAAAATGAAAAAGTAAATCGGTCCCGGGCCTAAGTCTTACCATGAGACCTACGGTAATAGCTACTTCCCTATAGGGAAATTCGCTAATATGGGGAGCGAGCTGGTCTAGTGGTTAGAGCCTAGGAGGATTAAACATTAAGGAGAGGACACGCTGTAGTTTCGTTGAAGCCAGCGTACTGGTGGGGTGGGGGGGAGGCAGCGCTACTCTCCCGCCCCCCTCTCATACTGCGTTGTATGCGTTACTGGAAGATTTGGTAACAGAAATATCAATTGACTATTTAAAAATTAGACTTCATCATGCTACGAAAATTAAAAAGTTAAATTCTAACCGTAATATTAGGAACCTATTAAGAGGAAAGTCATATTTATTTACCAATAGTACGTTCAAAGGTGGGTAATTTACACAAGGACGACTTGTATTTTAGAATTCGTTTGTCCTTGTTTTTATTTTTTGCCATACTTGTATTGTGTATTATTTATAATACTCTAACCAGAGCGCGGGACTCCGGTTCATGGGGCCCGGGTTCAAATCCCGCCATATCACCAATGGATTTTACTGTTCATAAATTAAAACTCAAATCATGAGTAGTACTGTATGTGTATTTGAACATTTTCTTAAAGAGAAATAAAATAAGTTTTAATCCTTTAAAAGAATGATAAACGCACTTTGGCGTCAGAAGACGCGATGATTGTTGAACATTTACCCTTTTTACTCGAAGTTTCTTTGGGCAAACAGATCAAATATAGTTCAATATGATATTAAAAAATCAAGAATTTGATTGCCAAGAAATTGTTTTACTTTTTATGATTGTAATTTAATTGTAACGGCTGTTGGTGTAAAAAAAGTTAGAGCGGCTTTGCATTTTTCCTTAACTTTGGCTATTTAAAATCACCTGCCTAGCACATAAATGACTTAAAACTAGTAAAATATGATATTAACAAATCGAGAAAACTATGAAAAATGCAAATTTAAAATGTATTTCACCACCCGAATTAAAATTTTCATTTTAACCTATTATTAGTAAGATTGTTTTATAAACTGGAAAAATAAAAATAAAACTTTATTGTAATTATTTTTCTAAATACCACTTTTAAATATAGGTAAATATATATTTTTTATTTCGAGAAACTCTTAAGGAACACGAATAAATTGTTAATTTGTGTAGATACATAATATTTTTTTCAAAAACGTAATTATAGTAATCATATGTTTAAAGTCCAGGTCAATTCTTTCAACTTTGATCTTCAATAATAAATAATAAATAATAGTTTTTATAGGAATGATTGACACCGTTCGATAGGAAATTTAATTTACTTTAAGAATGCCATCGCTGAATAACACAGGTGTTTTAGTTTAGCGGCAATTTTAATTCGAAACAGCACGCGTCGCGTTTTTCCCTATCTCTCCCATGTTATAGCCGAGGCTTTTTGCCACTCTACGGCTCCGCGTGCCCCTCTAGTGTTCTGCTATAGCTGGCTTCACCGCAACACGTGTATTCCTATTCGCGTGCCCTCTCCTTAATGTTTAATCCTCCTAGGTTAGAGCGTGGGACTTCGGTTCCAAGGGTCCCAGGTTTAAATCCCGCCAAATCACCATTGGATTTTATCCAAGTGATAATGCCGCAACCCCTAAGTCTAGCCTGAAGTAATGTGAAAAACAATCCCGGGCTCATGACTAGCGTCCTAGGACAAAAAAAAAAAAACTCATCAGATCAACAACAAAATGTCCGTATCAATACAGACAGGAACATGAGCAAAAGACACTGCAGTATTTAAATACGATTGTTGTGGTTATGTCAAAAATACTCCTGAGTTTGTTATAACTTACAGTATACTTAGAATGGGAATTCCAGAGAATCAGTAAAAAGCACACCGCCTAATATTGACCCTATAGCGCATCCTTAACTGTTTCCCTATGAATATGAAGGGTGGTTTCAAGATATGCTTCAAGGTACCAGGGCCGGATCTAGACAATTTTTGAGTGGGGGCAAACTAAAATTTGCCGCCCCTCCCCCCCCTTCACCCACAACAAAAAATCCCTCACAAATTAAACAAAAATGGAGGGTAACGTGGAATAGGTAGATATAACGAATTCCTTGACATAACAAATTTTTTTAAATCCCCTAGAACTCTCCATAAGACACAATGTAGGCTATATTTTACCTCTACATAACAAACAAACTATAACAACGACCTTGATTTAACAAATTTTTCGTGATTTCGGCTAAAATAAGACACCTCAATATAACAAATTTATCATTGTCAGAACCTCTACATTGCGAATTTAACCTCTGCATAACAAATTGTCTACGTCTTTCCCTCAATATAACAAATCCCCCACCCAATTATTGTTTTGGGAAAATCTGTTTCTTTATCAAATGAAATGGAAAGGTCACGTCATCGCTTGCGCTAACATTCGTCTGCTCCGTTTTACATCTTTGTCTGCTGTCTCTGCGCGCGCTATGTTGCAATTGAGAACTGATTTCATTCTCTGAGGACTGATGACGACGTAAATGTTTAGTAAGCTGTGATTGGGCGATCGATAACTATGGTGAATTGTACAATTTTGTTGATAAAGAAAAACCTAAGAAAGAATATAAAAACAAAACCAAAGAGAAAGAATAACAACATCGTTTTTTTAACATTCCTTTTACGAGTATTTTTACTATCCTTAAGTTGGCTATGATTATACACTTTTATAATGACTTATCTAATAATTTATTGTTTTCAATATGATTTGTTTCAACTAGCATTAGCAACACCAATGCTATAGTTAATGATTATTATTGACATTCCTCTGTTGTGATAAATCAGTACTGTACTGTAAGTAGCCTACCGGCCTATCGCGGGCAGTAGCTTACAAAACTTTCTACTGTTTTGTTTTGTTCTTTACATAATTTATGACTACGCAATACAGTGTTTGGCTAGGTTTTAGGAGGGTTAGAACAAGCTGTGATTTTAAACTTATAGTTTTTAACCTGTACCAAGGTCAATGCCATTGTCATGATTGCGCAATATTCAAGATCCCTCCCCTTTATTTTGCCGGATAATTTAGGTTCTACTGTACAATGTAAACACTGTACTGTAAAGTATTGTAGCCAATGCTACTTTAATTGTACTGTATTTTAATGAGGTCAAGTCCCGACCTATATTGATCGACGCTGGTTCTGAACCTCGACTTAGCGAAATTCCTGCAAACCTAACCTCTATATAACGAACCACGGCAGTGAGGCAGGGCGGCATGGCGCCTTGACAGGGATGGCGATCAGCTGAAATTATAAACAAACTTTTCTGTGCTGCTAACTATGCTATTAGGGCTCTCAGTGTTTTCTACTCCGTTGCAATTTATATTGATTTCTATTGTAAAATTATTGTTTGTTTATTACGTTATGCAGTTTTGAAATTACTTAATTGACGTTCCTTATGACGTTCGGCTCATTAAAAACTTTTTACAAACTGTATTAAACAAATTTACTGCAACCAGAAATTTGCCGCCCCTCAACCCTGCCGCCCGGGGCAACCGCCCCCTCTGCCCCCCCCTTGTTCCGGCCCTGCAAGGTACCTAGCAATCTACTGGACACCGCAACACAGTAAAACAGTAAAGATCCTTTATCAAAGAATTCTCTCTAATCATACTTGATGGTAAATTATTTACCAAAACGTTGATATGTTGGTAAGGATCGAGGAAGAACAGCTGGCATGTGTTAGAAAAGAACAGTAAAATCTCAGAGCGAAAATTCATATTAATCTCCATGATGCAATATGAGTCAGTAAACAAAGGTGCATCTAGTTGAGGACTTTTACTGAGTGATTGTATTAAGTTACTACTAGTCTAATTTTGCCCGCCAGTCAAATATTTGCAACCTTCCATGTAAGAGTTTTAACATCATTCTAGATTATAAAGCTGAGATATTTTTTTCCAATTTTCAGCTTATATGTCTGAAAGTGTTATGTTTACGCCTTCGTTTTTGTTATATACTAAATTTTCACACCTTAAACTATTTATATAGACCAAAGGGTGACCTTTGATGTTATATCTTGAAAATGTCTGTAGTATTGTCCTTCATCCCTTCGTAGAATATCATGTCACATAAAATATAATATATCAGTAAAATAATATTGCAGATTAAGGGCCAAGACTCCACATTTTTATTTCAGTTTCCTGCCAGTTTTAGACAACAAATTATAAGCAGCATTTATCAACCGAACGATACTTCAGCCTTATACTCATTTTGTTAAAACCATCCTTGTTTGTATCCTAACAGCTTTTGTTGCAGCATAGGCCCTAAGTAACAATTTTGGCCTCTTGACTACCTCATTATTTTACTGTATATCTACCACTATATAATATCCGTGAGATATCTAACATGGCTGGCTGGTTCTGTTGCAGATGATGACGTCATACTGGTGCCGCCACCGCCAAAGATCTCTCGGCCAGACACCCCTCCCCCTCCACCTCTCATATCCTCTTCTCCGCCATCAGCCGCCCCGCCTCGTGCACCTTCTCCACCGAGGATATCTTCATCGTCGGACCAGAGCCTTAGCATCGAGGAGACCAATAAGTTGAGAGCCAAGCTTGGACTCAAACCTCTCGAAGTAGGTGCTATTTATAATTAAAAAAAAATCAAATAAATTAAAATAAATGTTGTTTTGTGGTGTATTACAACACCTTTTAATTGCACCCCATTAAATCGGGTTGGCAAAAACTCAGGTTGTCAGAAACCATCATCGAAAATTCAAATAAAAAAAAACTTTGGAAACAGGAATTGCAGGTAGTTTGCCCAGATTAACCTACAAAATTTAATGGAACATATGTCACAAATCTTTTCCTGTAAGACAATTGCATTGTGACGTCGCCAGTGTGACGACGTCTTAACTTGACAGGAGACGGGACTAGTGAGAATAAAAACTACATAATTAGTTAATACCACGGGCTGCACGGACCGGAATAAAGGTGTACGGTTGCAGGACTAAGACGGACTGAGTAGTGGTTAGGGTTAGATACACGGGTATAGCAAAGGTCGCGGCAGCCAATGGGAATTTATTAAATATCACCTGATATGACGTCACAGACGTGGCGTGATATGGTGTGATGTAAACACACACTAACACACATTTACATTTTATACAACTTTGGTTTCCTACAAGAAACACTGTTTTACAAGTATATTGAATACAAAATCATCAAATATGCTACAGATCTTATACTGTGTTTGTTACTATATATTTAAAGTTCGGAAAACATGTACAAGATGTATAATTTATTTTACGAAATGGATATTTTGCTTAAAGTTGTAGATTTTAAGATTTCAGTGGTTAAAGTAACGTAAAAACGGCTGCTATGGATCTCTTTGAACCGAAATAGCCGAAATAGGCATTGTGTTTGAAAAAATCAAAATATAGGTACCTTAAAGGGTCAATCCTAAACTTAAAATCCACAATCACCATTTGGTTCACTAGGTGTTACATAAATTAAAATTAATTTATGTTCAAGTAAAATTGTGCTACTAGTACAGAACTTTTGTACTGATAATACCACGATCCTTTAATCCTTTCAGTTTCAGTGCTAGGCCAATAATTCGTATTTCGTAAAGACTTTTTTGTTTGCCTTTCTTTCAATTTCATTACCTGTTGTTGAATTTTAACTGTTATGTTGTCACTATTTTATTAATTAGGCTAATTTTGAATAATAAGACAGTAAGAAAATATATATAGCCTAACTAAGATAAATCCCGGTATTTGTAATAAACATTAAATAAAACTTAGTTTTTGTTCTAATTTTCCTGGTTTTCCTATAAATTTTTATGTTCTGATAGCATTGTTTAAAATCAAAATCTCATAAAATCAAAAGACATATAGTTTACAATGTAATATTAAATTTAACTTTGATTTGGTTCGACGAGGTTATCGTAATTCGTAATATAGCCATTTTAGGGAAAATAATGTTTTGCAGCAAAGTCTCAGGAACACATTTATGATCACTGTCGTGTTTTAACTGAAGAATATTATCTAAATAGTCCGTGACTAACTAGTGCTGCTACCTAGTAACGCATTGAACAAACATCTATAGCGTTATCAAAGATTCAAAGATTTATTTAAACAAGAAACGAGATTGCACACTTGTACAGTTGACGTCAAGATACTAAGACTAACAACTAGAAATTAACAAGAGTGAATATATATATATATCTCTAAAGATTAACAATGCCATCTATATAACTATAAACAAGGTAACAGGGTGTAAACATAACAGAGCAAGACTAGTCAATGTCAATATTGGATATCTGTTCGCAATCGGCGTCAGCTTAAATACCGGTTTTTGACTCCCCAGTCTTCAAGCACAGATAGCCGAGAAGGCTAGGGCGTGTGTCACTTGGCCAGTGGCATCGGTCTGCTCTGGTTCGATTCCCGTCCTTTGTGGCAAATAATTGGTTACCTGTGTGTTTGTAGCGATATACTACAACCACTGGGGCATAGTGAGGTGTTCATAATCCTCGGTGTGGACATACATCTCGAAATCATCGGATTGGACGAATCTTTTAGCTAAGTGGTTGTTAGTGTATCCTATAAACATGCAGGTCACCAATGGCCGTTTTGCTACTTTTTGTTAAATTCTTCTCTATATCCCTTAGAGATTTTTTAAAACAACGATATATATCGTTTCATAGCACTGAAAAATTAACTGGATTATTTATGACATTTTTAGATTGATTTTTACTCCCCCCCCCCCCCCCCTATACATAGTATATGGAGAAAGTGTTGTATTTGTCCAAATGTTCAAGTTTTGAGTTTTGGGTGCAAATATCGCTTTTGGTCCTCATGGTTTTCGATGTCTTTGTGTGGATGTTACAGAGCTACAGATTGGTCTGATTTTGATAAAATTTGCTATGTTGGTACTGTATTAATCTATAGTCTCTTCCCATTTTTTGGGGTTTGATTTTTTATTGTGGTTTTCCCATACATTTTTGCATAAAGTATGTTACGGGCATTTAACTCTATAACAGAGTACAATTCCCAATGCTTAGTTAGGTTTTGGAAATTATTTCAAATTTTGTGAATCTCCAGTGGCTTGCCCTTACGGGTTTGATACCGTTTATTTAATGTCAAATGTTTTTGCAGGTGACACCGACGGGGCCAGTCAAAGGGGAGGATGGACAAGTTAAAACTGTGGATGGTGGCACAGATATGGGAGAGTTTGTGCATAAACCTGCAGGTATGTAAGAGTACAGTTATCTTTGCACATTTTTATACCTTCAACCTGATATACCATTCCCACGATGAAATAAAACTGTAGAAAGTTAAAGGATAGAAATAAAAACAGTTGAATTCCAACACAGAATAAGCCACTGTGAATTACTGATTTATTTTCAAGAATCAAGAGTTTTATTGCCATTGACCTTACTTTGTACAAAGGAATAGACATAGTCAAAACACATAAAAAAAATATTCCAAATTAACAAATAAAATACAAAGTTTTACAAAATACTTGGTTAATTAAAATACAACATATCTAGAGAATATGGATCATGTAGATACACATCAAAATTCAATATCTACTTTTTTTTTAGAAATTCATGGATGCCATAGAAAGGATTACTTATCAACCATTCACATAATTTAGATTTGAATATCTTGAAGGATACAGTTCTGGCCGAATCAGGCAATTTATTAAAAAAATTAATGCAGTTTAGTCTATGACTATTGCTACTTTTTTAAAGTCTATGAGCTGTTATGTCTAACTGTAGTTTATTCCTTGTATTATGAGAATGAAAATCTTGTCTTATGTTAAATTCATGTAGGTTAATTTTTGTATACTGCATAATTTGATAAATGTATAAATTAATTATTGTCATAATTCTAAGCCTGATGAAAAGAGGTATGCAGTGATCCACAGGACCCGCTCCACAAATGATCCGAATGACTTTTTTCTGTAAAATGAGAATTTCATCTGAATAAGACAAATGCCCCCACAGCATTAGTCATAGACATAGACATAGACATAGACTTTATTTGCACAAAACATTCCATACATGTCATAACATTTAGAATAGGTGCATTGTCAAAATTAAATCCATACATAAAATATTTAAAATTAAAACTTTTAACTTAAAACTAAACACTTAAAATAAAAAATTCTAAATTGTAATTCTGTAAAAATCTTCAATTAAGTAAAAAGCCTTGTCAATAAGAAAATTATCTATTGTATCTTTAAATTTGGTTTTGCTTAGTGACTTATAGCATGGCGGAAGCACATTGTACAATCTCAGCCCAGCGTACAATGGAGATTTTTCATATAGGGTCAAACGGTGTCTGGGGAGTCTAAATATATTTTCATTTCGGGTTTCATACCTGTGATTAAAATGTATTGTTTCTGGTAGCTCATTTTTAACTGAATGTATGTAATTTAATAATTCTAGTATATACAACCCCGTTAATGTATGAATTCTTAAATTTTGAAAATGTTTCTTACAAGAACTGCATGGATGAGAGTTGGTAATAATACGAATAATACGTTTTTGTAACCTGAATAAAGTTTTAATACCAGTAGCTTGACCCCATAAAATTATGCCATATCTTAACACTGACTCCACATAAGCATGATAAACTACTTTAAGTGTCTCAATAGAAACACAGTCCCTTAAATGTATGAATAAAGATGATATCGACCTAATTTTGTTACGTAAATAATTCAAATGTGAATCCCATTTAACTGCGTCATCTACGTAAACCCCTAAGAATTTATGAGCTTCAACTAAATTAAAGGAACAGTTTTCCATATTTTTGTGTCTAGTAGAAAATTTAATAATATTTGTTTTTTCAACATTAAGTTTTAACCCATTTTCTAAAAACCATTGCTCCATGTCCTTTACCACACTTTGCAGAGAAGAAAACATTTCAGCTGTATTATTATTTTTGATCAAAGCAGTAGTGTCATCGGCAAAAAGAATTAGTTCTTTATTAATAGCTTTTGGAAGATCATTAATGTAAATAAGAAAAAAAAGTGGGCCCAATACTGAGCCTTGGGGAATACCTGTGGATATAATTTCCTATGGTTAATAATGTTTGTTGTTATCTTCTAAAATTAAAATTCTTTGTTTTCTTTCAGAAAGGTAAGATTGTATTAAAGAAAAGCAACAGTCCATAGGAAATATGTGACTGAAAAAAAGCAAAGTATGCCGTTCTTAAATAATCAAAAGTAACAAAATCTTTGAGTTTCCAGATTAGGCAATTAACGTGGGAAATCTTTTTACAGATGTTTTCTATTTGTTCTTTCCAATTTAATTTAGAATCTATACAAAAACCCAGCAATTTGACTGAGTGTTTTTCAATTTCATTGGAGAGGCCAATTAAAATATTTTGCGTTTTATCCTGATTACATTTAAGCTTATTCGCTGAAAACCAAACAGAAGCTAGGTTTATGGCTTCATTGGTCATTGTATTTAGAGTATGAATGTCTATGAAAGCGATTAGGGTGGTATCGTCTGCATATATTACAGAGTCAATCCCAACATTTCGTGGTAAATCGTTGATACGTATTATAAATAAGAAATGGTCCAAGGACCGAGCCCTGTGGAACACTAGAGACCACGTCTCTTAAGCCAGATTGCATTCCACCAACTGAAACATACTGCTTTCTATTACTTAAGTACGAATGAACGAAACCTAACTGTGCATCCTCAATGCCATAAAATTTGAGTTTACTAAGCAAAATGTTATTTTAATTTATATGCACAAACGTTTTTGACCAAGCCAAACTAAAAATTCTATTTATTGTAAGCTATAGCATCTTTTACATCACTACCATGGAAAAACTAATAACAAGACAAAATTAATAAGAGTGGTTCATTCAACTATGTGCTATTCAAATTGGACTGGTCAATGTTGGCATGGCTACCCAGTATCAAACCTGCAATGGTTATACAATAACCACATAATAATGGTTATATAATAACCCATTATTATTTCTTACTGGTAAAACTCTTTCTTAGATACATTTCAAGAATCATTAAAAAATTGTTTCAATGATTGATACAATTTAAATTTTAAGAAGATAAATTATATGTTAGTTATTAGCCTACAGAGACACCAGTCAAAATACAAACTAATTCAAGCTAAATCTAGTCTGAATAAATACAAACTTAACCACTCAGTTTTTAAGTAAGGTAAATTATGAGTGAACTATTAATCTAATTTTTAAACTTGTTGTCGATAGTATTTTGCTGCACATTTAAAAAATATACGTTTTTGAGAAATATGTTCGCAATCGCTGTGATTGTTAATTTTATTATTCTTAGAGGTGTTTTGCATAATTCATCATTAAAATTTTACCGCAGTAAAAATTTGCATGGAAGACGTGAGGATGATTGAAATACATTTTTGTTTCCTATTGCAGCCAACATAACGGACAAACATAGGACTGAAAAAATAAAAGCAAAACTAGCCGAACGCAAGGAGAAGCGAGCATTAGAAGCTAAATTGGCCAAGGTGAAGCGTCTAGCGGACGACAGTGATGATGAGAGTGCAGCAGCCTGGGTGCAGAAGAACCGGCGAATCACAGAGGAGAGGCTTAAGGCGGAGAAGAAAGTAAGTAGCAAATAGTTGTTGGTGACCAAAGGTTCCCATTATGGTATACTCCTAAGGTAGGGTTAGACCTAGTGACATTACATATAAACAGGCCTATGACACAATGCGGGCAGTCCCGGCGCAGGTAGTAGAATCTTTAATATTTTAGAAACAAAATGCTTTATGTTAGCCTATAGTTAAATTATTTTAAAACAAACCTTATTTTTACCCCTCCAAAATACATTCCCTCGATTGTGAATTTGTTGCAATACTGTTGATGTTTGACATATTACATCTGTTGTTTGCAGGCGAAGGAGTTGGATGACATGGACGCTGTGTTTGGGGTGGGAGAGCTCGTGGAGGAGGAGATGAGGTCCACGAGGAAGGATGCTTACGGAGCCAGAGACCTTCGAGGACTGAGAGTGGAGCACGACGTTGTAAGTTAGACAAAGTTATATTTGTATCAAGTTAAATGTTTTTTGCCATGATTCTGCAAAAAAAACAGGTGTTTTTAATGCATGTATTGTGGATCTAAGCTTGCTCTTTTACTCCTTAGGGTGTAAAAGTCAGCTGTTGAAAACGCATCTGTAAGATTTAATTGTAAGCGATTGTATGTATCAATTGGTCTAATCGGTTTTAGCTTATTGCTTTCTTGTCATTAGTTCACATATTGATAAATATAGTGCACTTGACTTAATTGAATAATGATCGAATCACTTACTAAACAGCAGCTCGTTTGCATTAGCAAAATTGAAGTCATTTAAGAGGTTATCTTTACATGAAAATTGTTTTTGTTCTTAATCCACCTTTGGCCTGATGTATATGTTCAATGCAAAATAAACAAGACCATTTTTTTTGTAGTACCTGTTTCTCTTTCATGTTTATAAAAAATATGTAGGGTTTTACTTTACAAAATAAAAGCGTTGCTGAGAGCTGAGTGTAACTGGTCGTGTCATACCATAGCAATTCATTTCCTTGTTTGCAGGATGGTTTTGTGGAGGGAAAGGAGGTTATCCTTACCCTGAAAGACAAAGGAGTTCTGGACGAAGAAGAGGATGCCTTGGTCAATGTAAACCTGATGGATGATGAGCGTTATAAGAAGGTGAGAGAGAAAGTTGTATCGTTAAGTTTAAAAGTCTCACCTTATCTGCCTGTAAGTCTAAATTTATCCAGTATAAAAGGTATGCAAGTTAAAAAATTTTCTTTTTTAGTATATATTTTTTGTCTGTTAAAATAAAGTGGTATATTGTTGTTTAATAGCATTGGCTTTGGATGCTAATATTCCATCTATTTGGATCAACTGTAGTCAGTTTTTATTTAAAATACGAATAATTTGTGCTTTAAACACAAAAGTGCAACAGACTAACAGACATGTCAACACTTTGTTGTACATGATCAATAATAACATGGACAACACAGAGTTTAGCCCACTGAACTTGCTTATTGATTAAACAAGTTCACATATTAGGCCTACTATTTGAACTGTAATTAGTTATCAGCCATTTTTTGACAATCACAATAAACAAGTGACAAGAATTAAGAATTTTTTTTTCTGAAACCTATCATTAGGTCTATTTATCAGTGAAATTACAAAAACAAATTTGTTGTTTCGGTAAAAATTTTATAATTTGTTTTTGTTGAGAGAACAAATTCTTTTCGATCATAAACAATTGCTTTTTCTTTTCTTTCCCAGAACATAGATAGAAAGAAGCAGAAGCCCAACCAATTTGGTTACGATGCTCTCAATGAAGAGGAAGACGAAGAACGATCTGTGTTGAGCAAATACAATGAGGAGATTGAGGGAGATAAAAAAACCAGCTTCACAATCGGTACTAGTACAGTATTTTTATGTTAATGAAAGTTATAAATTATTTCATAAGTGATGAAAGGAATTACGCGCATTTGCTTAGTGATATACCTAAGTGTTAAATTTGCTTAGCCTAATTACCAAAAATTGCTTAGAAGAGTTGTGTTTTAACTGCTACCAAACAACTCACAGTCCTTTATTATAGTCAACAAATTTTAAATCTAGAATGAGTGTGTAAACTGTGAATCATCGCTGATTTTGTTAAAATTGTTAACCATCTGCTGGCTGGTGTTGGCTGACAACCATGACTAACGTACTGAAAAATACATTGCACCATTGCTGTGTTTTAAATCAATTTGTGTTTTAATTTTAATATAAACACCCAATTACTATGTTGGTTGGAATTAAATTTAAAATAAGTTATGTTTAATTTTCTTTTCAAATTGTTGTTTCTTAAATAAATGTTTAGTTCTTAGACATTCTTAACCTGATTTATGATGACTGACTTTTCTTAAAAGCTAAATAGGTAAAGTCTTTATTTTATTTTATTCTACTACTTTTTTTATTGGCCCAATTCAAAAGAAAAATGTTTTGTTAATGTGTGGTAGATGCTGATAGAAAATCATGAGTGTTAGCTATTCACCATGCACATAGTGGGGCCTATGTATCAAAATATCAAATAATGGTTTATATTCAATATTGAGAAGAAAACGGCTGCATTAGTTGTAACTGCTCTCTGTAGGCCTACTGACTTTGTATGGATGTTCCGGGCAGAATCTAACAAAGTAGAGTGAAAAAAGTAAGAAAATTTCCTGTTTCTGTTATGTACTTTGACAACAATCGTCTGCACAGGTGTGGACGAGAATCAGAGAAAGAAGCAGATCAAGAACAAGTTGCAGCAGGTACACAAACGGGTAGAATCACTCAGTCTACCTGCCCCTCAGCTCGCGTCTGACTACTACACGGAACAGGAACTCGTCCAGTTTAAGAAGCCTAAGAAGAAGGTAGATTATTTGTTTATGTTTTATGGAAATACTAGCAGTTACCCGGCACACGTTGCTGCACTTATCAACTATTATTTTAAATGGTAATTTGTTGTTTACTATAAATAATAAAAAATGTATACAAAAAACAAAAGTTGAATACCGGTATTTATTTTAATATAGGTAGTGCCAGTGGATAAAAAATGTTTTTTGTTTTATCTTGTGTATAAATGTAGAAGTTTTTAGGCGTACCAACATTCGGCCGTCCATTGTGGATATTGTAGAGCATTTAAATTTAAATGTTGAGTGCACAGGTGTGATGCGATCAGGGTTTAACATATTTGGAAGTAAAATGATCCAAAAGTAAAATAGTTTTCTGTGCTGCATTCTGTGGTAACAGTGTGGCACTATTTCTAATCATGACTAATACAGAATGTTGTGATATTCCAACCTATAAATCAGATTGTGATACCAAAGTAAACATCTGCTTTTAAATTATGTTTATTTGTAAACATTGCAGTTCCAAAAGGGTGACATTGAACCCCTTAAAACCCTCTGCGACAAAGCCCTTTTGACGGATTTGTACCAAACTTCACACAAACCATCCTTGAATAATGCCTGAAAGTTTCAATACAATCTGTCGAGTGGTTTTGGAGTCCATAGGGTATATACATACATACTTCCTCTTATATAGATACAGATTATGTTGTAAGGTGATTTAATTTTATATTGCTATGGGTGCAAAGCACTTTCATTTAACAAAACGTAATACAGTAAAATCACTTTTAACCTCAACCCGGTTAAACCAACTGTGTTAATCAAAACCATAGTAAAAAATTTTAATGGAATTTAGTTAAGCAATGGGAGTTGTTAGCCATAGGTAGTGGCACAGTTTGGCCAACAAAATATATTGGAGCAGACAACAACACATATTGCATATAGTGATAGGGATAAAGTTCAGAAAAAAACTGTTGATTACTTTAAGAAATTGATTTATGTAGGAGTTGTTGATTTTAAGATAATAGCAATTAAAGTTGAAATTGATATTTACTTTTAACCTATGGTAACATTATTTTTGATCAACAAAAAGTAATGTGTAAAAAAGTTTCGGGTTGGAGCCTAGTGTGAAGAGGTTGGATGTAAACAAACCAAACGGTCCACAGGTGCGCAAGATCCGAGAGCGTAAGAAGGTACTGAAGGCAGATGACCTCTTGGCTGAAAACACTGAGGATTGGTTGAAGGACTTGGGCACTCGGAGAACGCCTCAGGTCAACATCAAACCTGACCCTGAGGCTTTTGACATCGAAGGCTACAGCTCTCGTGGCAATGTCGCTCTTAAGGATGAGCCCATGGACGATCCAATGGATGTCGATGATATGCCAGGTAAAAGATAGAGTGATATTAATTAATTAGAATACTGTATTTAGTCTTCATTCGTAGGCTTTTGCAGTCGCTATTATTAAAATCCATGGTAGTGGTTTTCGGCGTCAACCGCGTCTTGTGTCAGTCTAGCCACTGAGTATGCGACTTCATAGTGAGGGCGAAACGTCTGGCAGTTATCTACAACTGAAGTGGTTGTCACTGAAAACCACCACCATGAATTCTAGAATACCATGCTGTTTCTGAAACCAAATCAAAATGGCAGGCGATAGAAAAATAGCTTATTCATAGAGAAATTTGGATAACGGTTAAATAACCTAAGATCAGATACTCAAGACTCCACCATAATGTTGTTGATAAATATATGATAGCCTTTTACAAAAGATTAAACTGTTAGTGTATTTATTCTGTTGTAGAAGTGACAGAAGATTTGTCCGAGGTGAAGGTAGAGCCGGATGACAACCTGGAGTTGGAGTTGGCTCTCAAGAAGGCGAGGAAGCTGAAGCAGAAGGAAGCTGCAGAAACCGCTGCCAACCCAGAGACGGTAGGTTTTAACTTACAATAGTAGACAACTAAAATTTTAAAATATTGAACATTCTTTAAATGATTAGGCTACCGTTATATTTTTTTTTACTCTGATTTCATCCTCTTATGCTTTGACAGGAATTTGTATATAATCTCACTGTCGTCGATTAATTGTGTAACATAAAATAGAATCCCAGCCTATTCCTCCTGTGATCATCGTTTCTTCTGTCAATAAAATGAAATAAATATGTAAATTTGAAACATCTGTTGAGTTTAAGTAGAGTTGTGGAACACTAAACATTTCTGAGCTAGAAAAGAGTAGGGCGTAAGAAAACACTCTGGAGCCAAGCCATTGGATGCATGTTGCTACTCCCATGTAAAATTTAACCTCAACATTTAACACAAGCTTCTTTTGTTTTAATGTTGTTGTTGTTGAGGAACTTTTACATGGTTGTAACAATGCTTGGTTTTAAATTAAACAATAGTGCATACATATCCTCTTCCGTTTGGTTATTCCTGGGTTTTGACGAAGACTAGACCTTTCCATCTTCCCATATCCTTTTTCAGTTTCTCTTCCTTCCTATAGTATTTGCTGTCTTCTCACTCCTGTCTTTTCCATTTCCTGTCGGTCTCCTTCACCGTCAACTCTTGTTTTCATATCCTCTCGTGTTTCGGTTATTCCTGAGTTTGGATAGACAATGTCCAGACTCCCTCTTCTCTTATCTTTTCTCAGTTCACCTTCTACCACCATCTGCCATCTCACTCCTGTCTTTTCCATTTCCTGTCGGTCTCCTTCACCGTCAACTCTTGTTTTCATATCCTCTCGTGTTTCGGTTATTCCTGAGTTTGGATAGACAATGTCCAGACTCCCTCTTCTCTTATCTTTTCTCAGTTCACCTTCTACCACCATCTGCCATCTCACTCCTGTCTTTTCCATTTCATGTCTGTCTCCTTCACCATCGACTCCATTTTCATATCCTCTTGTGTTTCGGTTATTCCTGACTGTGGACGTCAACTAGGTCTCCCTCAGCTCTACTCCTTTCTTAGTTCATCTGCCTTTCCCACTATCTGCCATCTCACTCCTGTATTCTCCATTTCCTTCCTCACTTCATCCATACACCTTCCTATCGTTCTCCTTAACCATCATTACCCAAGGAATATCTGTTCTCACAAAACCTTGTAACTGTGTCAGGTCGCTCGGATGATCCTCAGTGAGGAGACCGGCTACAGGGAGGCTGGACCTGGAGGATCCATTGTACTCAACTCCACCGCAGAGTTCTGCCGTACTCTCGGAGACATCCCCACCTACGGGCTGGCTGGCAACAGGGACGAAGATGCTCAGGAGATACTGGTGAGAAGCTGATGTAACACTGTTGTATTTTCCTTAAAAATAGAGGTAATTCACGAGAATAAACTAACAGTTCAATGTGACGAGAAGTCCAACGAGTTGGTAGATCAACTTGTGAAACACACAATGTGTTATTATCGCGTAAGCACTGAAAAATAATTATCAGTCTTCAAACTCTTGTGGGTTTGAATGACTTTACATTGTTTTGTTGTACATTAAGATATTAGGAAATCAATGTTCGTTCTTTTCACCACAACCAACGTGAAGGATGCTAAATTTTTAACAAAATAAAGTCAAAATCAAAATACAGTACATTTATTTATTTTTTTATAATATGTAAAATAAAAATTTGCAACTTGCAATCGTTTATCATTTGTATTGATTTACTCATTTCTTTTCAAGAAAAACAAGTTTCTTTTTACATAATTTGTAGTATCATCTTGATAAACAAATATATATTTCTTGTGATAGGACTATGAACGAGAGATGAAACAAGAAAAGCAGAAAGAAGAATCATCTATCAAGCGCAGTGGGTGGAATGATGTGGAAATGGGTTAGTAATGCTTTCTCATCTAACTTTAATTTTTTTTTTCAAGAATTTGTTGTTTAGAAAAATATTGATGTAACCATCATGTTTGGAATCTAGGGACATTTTACTGAATTGTATTATATGCAGTCCTCTATTTTGCTTATTCGGAAGATAAAACGAATTACTAAAACAACTAGATATTTTTTAAATAAGTTACAAAATACTTCAACCTTTTAGCATATGTAAGTTTAAGTTTGTTCTGATTCATATGAGTGAGTATAATGTTGGCCAAGATGACTCCACCAGATTCTAATCCAAGCAATGCTAATCTGAATGTCCAGCTACTAAAGAATAGAACTTAATACCTATAAATAGCAGGTGTATAGTAAGTGACACTTTAACCAATAAGGTAATTTATTTTATGGTTGAGTTTTCCGAATTTTTCAAGGGGCAATACTAAATGCATAGGTTTTTATTTTATTTTCATTAATTTGTTTGTATATTTTCATTATCAAGGATATGTTTGTGAGGTGTTGAAATTAAATGAAATTGTGTATTGGTAGTTTGTTGTAGAATATTGATGCAATTCATAATACCATATGTTAGTTTGAATAAAGAGGTTTTGTATTGAATTGTGTACTTCAGACGAGCGACTGGTGGACATAGCACAATACGAGGCTCCTATACTGGACGCAGAGCCTGACCTGGGTGCAGGGGTGGGGGGAGCCCTTCGGCTGGCCATCAGTAAGGGATACTTGGAGAAGGAGACAAACAAGCGACCGTCTGCTTCACGCTTCGCTCATCTACAGGCGCAGAACTACTCCATAGAGGACAAGGCTCACACGTAAGTGATACCATAATGCATTGATTATATGATTATGTACTAACTTTTACCACTGAAAACCATTGAAAAGGAATAGAGATCAGTTAGTTTTCCGAGAAAATTATATGGGCTAATAGAGATGCAATAAAACGTTACAAAACACCACTGATATTTAGTCCTAATGAAAGACTTCTTGTGAGGTAGATTGGTGTGTAATTTATTGTCATTAGTTTTGCCATTGAATGTTAAAATAGATATTTATAATTTTTTAGTTACTCGAGGGACAGTGAAGAACTGCATGCCACAGGTTCAAATCCTTAAACTGTATAATTTATAAGTAACGTTCAATATTTTGAGTGCAGAAAAACAATTTGTGTTCTATGCACTTTTGTAAACTATAAATGATAAACTATGTGTTAAAATTATTGGGTTAAATAAGTTGTTTGATTTTTGTTTTAAGAGAAATATTACTAGTTCAAAACTGAAGTGATCTTTAGTATCCAACTGCGGCCACTACAAATAATCAGTTTCTTAGCCTATAGTTTTTTTTTTTTCTTAAATAAAAAAATGCTTTTAATGGTTCTTAAAACCTTTGGTTGACAATAGATTGTGTTAGGCTGGCATAAAAATTAACAGGAATTTTAATCAATGCAGTAAAATCATGTCATAGCTAGATGTTGTGCTTAAGCTATGTTATGTTGTAGAGAGGATGATAAGTTCGGCCGACGGGAGAGATATTGCGGCCCAACGTCTGACTTCAAGGAGAAAGACGGCTACAAACCAAACGTCAAGCTGGACTACATTGATGATAATGGGCATCTTCTCAATTCTAAAGAAGCCTTCAGGTATAGAACTCTATGGATAACAGAATTGTAAATTTAGCAAAGAGTAAAAACATGTCTTACTTACCTACAAGTAATATAAGGTAATACCATAGATTAAACATACTCCTTAGTAGATTCCCCGCCGGCATGTTATAAGGTGAGGACGGCTAAAACGGGGCAAACTTCAGTGCGCTCTATCCTGGATTTCTAGTACTAGCGCTCTAGGCGGTATCAGTGCAATGGCGCAACCTCGTGGCGATGAGAGGAACAACGCAACGACAGCATTCGTCTGCGAGAATGGCCCAAGCCAGAGCCCAACACACGGCCGGCGCCGTTGTTGCCGTACAGCTAATCAGCCAGCTTGCACAGCGAAGCACTAGCAGCTAATCCATTACATTTTACAATCATACGCGAATATAGTTTTTCTGTTATTTTTACTAAGTACAAAAGAAGCTCATAGTCATGGAATACAAGGTGTATAGTGTAGGCCTACTATAAATAACCGATCATTCATTCATTAGTCATTACCAACGAATCATTTTTAAATAAATAATAAAAATAAACCCTTATTTCCTACATAATTCATACTTTTCCCAAATTACATGTTTTTATTTTAATTTTGTCGGGCGGAGATGAAATCCTCATGGACACTCAAAAATCCGTATTCGAGAGTAGTGTACGACTGTTACTGGCAAAAAACTTCGCAAAGTTTTGTTGAAAATAAATGAAGTAATGTATGTTATTTGAGAATTTAATTTTGAAACGCTTTATGAACTGGAAATACAATTAATTATTATTTGTATTAGAAAGTAATTGCGAAATATTAGGTAAGTATTTATAAACAATTTAAATTTAAGGATCCAAAGGAAATAATTATGAAATGTTTAACTCATCAATGTATTTAATTTGACGTTTTGTATTTAATCACTTGACTCTAATGTTTACATAATAACATTGTAATACTATGTTTTAATAACATTAATCATCGTACAGCATTTTAGGTTACTTAATCTACTTACACCCAAACAACTTAATCACAGCAATATTAATATCATGCATCCTAACATAACCATATATAACATAACCAACAATTAAAAACAAATTGTTTACATTTAAACAATTTTATTACAATTAAACTAAAAAATGTAAGTATAATTTTTCGTAGAGTGCATTGTATAATGAACTTATTTAAAGCACTTGTGTGTTGTTTTTTAGTGCCTTCGACCTTTGTTTAGCCATTACCAGCAATTTTGCGGCTTATCCACGAACTCAGTTTTCTCGCCAGTCAATCCCGCGGATAGTCGGGAGTATACTGTAGTAGGTTAGTTTATTTAATCCAAATGACATATTCTAACGATCCCTACCAATATTCCCTCTGAATTCAAACGTTTACAGTTTCCTGCACGTCTCATCTGCGATAACTATAAACAAAACTCAAGGTAAATCACTGTGAGTGTATTAATTAGGACAGACTTAACATATGCAGTATACACGTTTGTGTGTTTTTTGTAATCCACACTGGTTCTGTTTTAGTATTCGTGTGTTTGATGACGTTTTACTGTTTACTGTTTTACTAATCTAAAAGTTTTCTAAATTACTGTCAATTTGAATTGATTTGGTTGATTGATTGACATTTACTTGTTTGTTAGTTTCATAACTTTTTCCCACTTTTCACCATATTTACCACCGGGCTGACGCAGATCCTCGGACATAGCCTGCAGGCTTCTTTTAATTTTTGCTACTAGAACCTTGTTTAGGATGAAATACAGTATTGGTGTTTGTAACAGTTGGTGTAACATTTCATCCAAATTGGATGCATCCGGAAAACACGTCGCTTTGCAGCGCCAAATCTAGGGGGTCCGCTCTGCCTGTCCGCCGCACGTTAATGCAATGGCTTTGGCTCTCCGTTAATGTCAGCTTGGTACTTAACCAATTGAAAATAAATTTATGTTAATGTATTCCTTTCTTATATCTGTAGGCTTGATCTTTTTTAATTTTTTGCTACTACTGTAGTAGAATTTTAAGTGTGAAATAACTGGTAAATAATCTTACTAATATTATAAATGTGAAAGTTTGTGTGTTTGTTTGTTTGTTTGTTTGTTTGAAGTTCAATCACGTATAAACCACTGGACGGATTGGGCTGAAATTTGGCATGATGATAGCTTACATTCCCGATTAACATATAGGCATATTCTTATCTCAAAAATCCTTTCGGGCTCCGCCCCAGTGGCTCTGTAATTCCCCATGTTAAACTTATGAGTATTCATATTTAAAGGGAATTAAAGAATTTAGTCAGCTGTTTCAACTAAAAAAGTTGGTTCTATGATATGGAAAAGCATTAAAAAGTTATAAGATTTACCAACAGGGTGCAGCACTATATTTTTTTTCATTTATGAAAACAGCTAATTTGAACTAAGCAAAACCAAAAAACTGTGATTCGCAATGAGAACTGTCAAAGTAGGATTGTTTACAGTTATGTTTATGTTTTTCATTTCATGAATAATTTGTGAAATTTTGCGAATTGTTGATAGTTTATTTTTCTCTATTGTTTAGGTGAAGTGGTAGAACATTATGGGTATGGTAGATGTGTAACACTATAGAATACTGTAAATTTAAAAACCCCAAATTTTATCAAACTGTGTCCTCCCTTATTGCAAACGCAAAGCTTGAGTATAGCTGCAAAACACTATATACTTATATTCCAACCCCGTACGAAGGACGGGTACTCTGCTAGTACTTCTATATAAGCGTTTTTCTAACGCATTTTACACATACAAATGCATTTTTTGAAGAAAATCAAAAAAGCTAGAGTCATAAATTTTAATCTAAGGAGTAAGGAAAAATCTTCAGATGAAAAATATTTCAAAAGTTAAGTGACTTATTTAAGAGGACTTAAAACGTCTACAAGCGCTTCTCGTGGCGCTGTTCAATGGCGCAACATATCTACTGGCCCGAGTTGAGATTTCTGAGCTGAGGCAGAGCGCATCCTTAACAGTACCGTGTTTTTTAGCATAAAAACATGGATGCTTTTCTTTAAAACGGCATCAAAACTGAACTCCGCTAGTGTCAGAAGTCCATAGTGGCTTCATCAAGTCCCTCCTGCAGTCCGCGCAATTAAACAGCCTCAAGCAGGTTCGGTTTAAAGTAGGTGTACGGTTTTGTAATATAATATTGTAAGGCAATTCTTAGAGTGTTAATAAAATAAGTTGTTTGTCAATTTTTAAATTGAAATAATAAAAAAACAACTGCAATGCAAAACTAAATGTAAAAAAATAATCGAATTAGGAATAGTATTCTTCACCTGGTCCGCGGTGACGGTGGTGCGCGGGTGCGTACACTATAGTGTGGCCTTGGGTTAGCCCACTCCTTTGAAGTGAACGCGTGCCGCCTGATGCTGCCCTTCCAACCCCGCCACCATGTGACGTTGCATCGGAAGCTACCGCCAGACACTGCCATTGTTAACACGTGCATTTACACTCACTGTTTTCTTTAGTTTATAACGTTTTTTACATAGAAATATTGTACTAAATTTCATAAAAATCGGACCATTTTTGCTCGAGTTATCGCGCTAACAGACACACATTTAAATATACACGCGATTTGCGCGATGAATTTCAACGGATGGTGTTTTGCGGCCTCTAGGGACTTCAAAGCAAAATAATTAAATCGGCCCCAGGTCCAGGTTTTACCATGAGTACTACGGTAATAGCTTATTCCCTATATGGGAAATTCGCATATGTTCGGAAATAGTTTCAAGAATGTTTTAAAATGTTGGGCTGCAGGGTATTGATTACATGGTTATTGTATAACCTATTTGTGGCGTAGACTAGGATAACTAACCTCCCTGATTCCGTGCACGACTCATCACAGTTCACAATCGCTTTTTGAGCACTATTTCCTAACCACTGAGAGTCCGGACTGTTTTGAGATCCTGCATGGAGGAGAAGAAAATCGGAAAAGAAATACCAAATTTAACTCCTAAAAGAAATGTACATGGAGGAAGTTTCGTTTGTGCATAACTTGAATTGGACTCTAGATAAACGAATGCCGATGCTTGATGGCAAATCTGTGCGTGTATACCTTGAATTTTAGACCAAAATTATGAAATTCGGTCTGTTAAAAGAGCCGAACCGACTCGTATAACTAAGAAGAGAAAACCTAAGAATTTTGTATAGACCTATATATATCACAATAATAAATTCCTTAACTAACAGTTATCTTTGTAAAAAAAAATTAACCTATTTTAAACACTCTAAAAATAATTAAATAAATCTTTCAAAGTAAACTTTTGTAATGTTCAAGTTCACGTATTTGAAGTCTATGATGATGTTTGACACAACATACTGAAAATTTAAAGAGGATGTCCACATTGCAGGCGGTTTATCTATAACTAATGATGTTAATCTTCATGTTTTTTCAGAGATTTGCGTTTGGAGTTATTTTATTATTGTAACCCATCATTGGCATATGCCTTTTTAAAGTTTTTTTTTATAAGATAATAAATTATAATCCTATAGTGATATTAACTAGTATCTTTTAATGATAATGCATTTAAATATTTTTAATTTGGATAAGTAACGTTTTAATATTGACCTAGCCTCTTTTCCCTAACATAATATCAACATAATTTGTTTCTTATTCATATATACAATTAGTGTGCCATAGTTGCATATTGCATTCATTCAGAAGTAAATATAAAATACAAGTAAATACTTCCTTGGTATAAAAAACAGTGCTTATGTTTGTTATATATTTATGTTACCTATCCTGTTATGATTTTATTGTTTTTATTATTTTAGAGGGTTTGAAATCGGTTGTTTTTTTACAAAGATAAAATATTTCATCTTATTAGTGACTTAATTCTAATTTGTAACATATTTATTACTTAAAGGGTTTTTAAAAGCAAAATTGTTTGGACCGATCAAGAAAGTTACTGAACAGTTATTATTTTAAAACTGCTTGAGTCACCTGTTCAGGTTACATAATTCCTGGTTATAAAAAATTGGTAAACCAGATGATGAATTGGGATTGCCAGAAATTAAATCGATCGAGAGCTGCAAAAACATTTCGGTCCGTGGTACGAACTCTATTTTTACCACACTATACCCTATTACCTACCTTTTGCAGCCAAACATGTTTTTTGTAAACCGACGTAGCCTAAAAGTTTTATGTCTTAAAAATCAATAGGAAATAAGTGTATTGTTCGATTGGAATAATGTTTTCAATGATATACTATAATTTTATTGTTGTGATGTTTATTTTATGGTGTTGATAACAGAATACAATTTCAATACTCAAAACGGAGTTATACAAAATGCAGGTGAAATTTTGAAATACCTTTTTCATAGTAACCAAAACAAAACGCCTAGTAAACTCAAAGTCAGTTATTTAGGCTCCATGGCATGAAATATATTAAGCATCTTTTTCATGAAGATCTGTCTCTGTACCTTCATCGTTTCAACTAACAGTTGTAAGAATATTATTATTATTTATTGCTTTCTCTGTAAACATATTAACAAAATAAATATTTTATAAAGGTTTTCAGCATTTTTTCACTGGAACCAATATTTAGGCCTACACTTAAACATAATGTTATATATGGTACCAAAGGGAAACCATGGTTATTTTGGGAGTGGAACCATGCTGATCGGTATAAAAATCCCAGAGAAATTGATGAACATCTATAGAAAAAAATACATTGGCACAAACAAATTGAGAACCTCATTCTTTTGTTGGTAGTGGGGAATTCGGTTAAAAATACTCACAAGTAACAAATACAATAGATGGCTATTCAAATAAAAGAACAATTAATTTAATTATCAACATCACATTAACTACACTAGAACAATCGCAATAAAACACTGGTGTTACAAATACTGAAATACAGTTAGAGACTCTGCACGTACAAATCACGCTGTATGGAATCAAGCTGGGCGTGAGTGTCGTGGTCGTGTGTAGGCCTATGTGCCAAGGTGGTATTCCTTGCTCGCTGGTGCTCAGTGCTGGCGCGCGGCGGGGCGCGCGGGGCTTGTGGACGCGCGTGTGAGAGCTATAACGCGGTAAGAGTGTGTTTGTGTGTGTGGCTGTACGGCGAGACCTCTAGCGCTCCTAGCCTGACCGTACTGAACTACGTGGGCAGCACGCAACTTCGCCGTACAAGTGCTCGAACATACCGACCCCTATCCCGCGGAGAATCTACTAAGGGAGTATGTTTAATCTATGGTAATACTTACTCTGTGGACTTCATGGGATAATGCTTTAGGAGTAAGATAAACTTGTAAATTGCAGTAAGGTAAACAGCTGCACAATTCAGGAAAACCTCAGAACAAAATCCAATGCACCGTCTAGTTAACAAGTACACAGAAGAATCTTTGTAAACAATCAGAATTTCTTGTAATTGTCATAATCAACGATCACATAAGACCAATAGATGGAGCATGTTGGCCGTGACGTGAAGCCAGTATTTTTCATTAATCTACAACACAATGGCGGCTGCCGGCTGTGATGAGCCCTAATAGTGGGCACAACTAAATGTTAGTTTATATCAATGATATCCGTGACAATACGCCTTTGTATTGTAAACATTTCTATTACTAACACAATGACCTTCAAATTTTTTTTAATTTGTTCAAATTGTTTAATTTTAATTCAAACGCTTTTAATTTGTTTTCTAGCGTTTACCGTTTCCTAGAAAAAGTTAGTTTACATAATAAACAACAAAAACTTTTTGGGTGAAAGAAAAATTCTGAAAAGCTACAAATTAATATTTATAATATATATGTATCTGTATCTTATTAAAGTTTGATAAAGTTCTGGCGTTTGGTTTACAATGTACGTATTTTCAAAGTCACAAGATAGTTTCTTAAACTCTTTATACAACTCTCCTTTATATTCTGACTGTCATATACATTTTTGTGAAAGAGCTAAAAAATATTAATTTTTAGGTGAATACAAAAAAATAAAACGAAGAACATTTATATGTACTCTGTGATTTTCTAATTAGTTAAGGAACTTTTCTGTATAGCTCCAAGTTTGAGTACGGTATCTAAACTGTATTACAAGTGAGGTTGTAGGCAGAATCTGCCCACATGACGCCACGCGGCGCGGTGGGTAGCCCCTATATTACAATTTAAATTACAACCAAACTACACCAGCTAAAAATTTTGTAAAATGTCCAAAAAATTCAACTCAATAGCTACAAAATCCACTGTTTTTTAACGTACCTGATCAAAAAATAAAAAAAATAGTAGGCGACGAACTTTTTCATGTCATATTTTAAATTTATTTAAAATAGAAAATATTAACTTTAAAGCTTTTAATTAGAACTAATAGTGTCCTAGACTTATTGACATCATTCATACGAAGTTTCACGATTTAGGCCTACCTTTAGTCTTTTTTAAAATCAAATCTGCTTTATTTCCACAAATTTTTTATAATATATACATATACAAAATACGAACAATAGTCCCGCATAGGCCTTAAAAAACCTGTGCGCGGGACATTGAGTTTTGGTGCCGTTTTCACTGGCATCTAGCGATTCTAACCTACAGTAAGATGGGGGACCTGGCTTCAGCTGCTTGAATGTTAGCATTGACTATTGGATACAGAAGAAGACATCCCATCTATATGGATCAGCTGTTGCCAATTTTTTACTAAAAAAGAATGTAGTTGTGTGAGCCAGTCAAAGATTGCGCTAGTGTCTAAACTAAAACTCTATTTTGTACCATTTTTTTTGTTACTGACATAGTTGCTGGGTCACAAAAGTTCCTATAGCTCATAATAAGTCATTCCATCAGTTTGACTTCGTAAAAACCATCATGTAATCGGCAGAAATCAGTAATTTAGATCAGCGCATTCTGTAGGTGGCTCACATCAACTAAGACAAATTTTATTAAAATTCTGGCTACAACTTTAACATGGGGATGGAATGTCTAGTTGTTGTATTAATAGTCAAAGATGTTAGTTAGATAGGCGTACGCCATCTATTGGTCTTATGTGATCGTTGGTCATAATGGCCTAGCCTAAATTATGTATGTTTGGAGGTTCCTTGCCTCTAAAACAAGCAACTAGGATTGTAAACTTACATTGGTAGTATTTTTGGTTCATATCACTTTTCACTTATATTATAAACTGAATTGAAATGTTTAACAGGTTACATAACTTTTTCCATTCTCAGTCTTAAAAATAGTAGGCCTAGTTGTTTCTAAAATTTTCTATCATTGCATTTGATTTCCAGGTACCTTTCACATAAATTCCATGGAAAAGGACCAGGCAAGAACAAGGTTGAGAAGCGAATGAAGAAAGGAGAACAAGAATCGGTGAGTGATTGTTTTGTCGAATGTCTATTACTATTTTGAAATTTTCAAAATCTAATTGATAATGTTAAAATCTAATTGATAATGTTAAAACTAAAATCAAAAACATCCGCAAAAGAGCATTTTAAAGAAATAGGAATTATGGCTGTTTTTAGCTTATACATTTATCAAATAGCCCTTTATATTAAATCAAACCATGAAAGATTGTCAAAATTAAACTCTTTTCATACGTATTCAACCCAGAAAAGGTAATGAATTGGCGTTTAACAGACATAATTTATCGGTTTACGAAAAAATCCCATCTTATAGTGGTGTTAAATATTTCAATAGCTTACCTGACAATATAAAAAATATAACTAATTTTAATTTATTTGAAATGTATAAATTAGGAGATTTTTTCTAACTTCCTGAAATTTGATTTTTTGATAATAACAATATTCTTTGTAAGTAGTCTTAAGTTTAATATTGTGTTTTTTTTATATAACTAACTCCATTCTGTACAAAATGTGCAACATGAATAAAATTATTTTGATTGATTGATGGTTTATAACTCACAATTCCAAGAAATGGTATGAATTAAAATCCACGTTGTTAGCCCCTGAGCCAATATGAAGGGTGCTTTTAAGTAAGGGTCGTTTGAGCAGATAGCTCTGTAGTTTGCATGTACTCCGCAAGGAGATAGCTTAGTAACATACTTTAAGCTTAATTAGCTTACTGGAACAGAATCACACCTTCGTTGTTAAAGTCTTTGCTTTTGTGTGTCTAAAAAAAATATAAAATTACTGAATCTTCTGCCGGATGCGAGATAAGGTCAGTGATACGTTTTTCAGACATTCATCAACAGATGACTGAAGTTTATGGCGCTAACATAATAAGTGAGGGTAAAGAGCAAAAATAGTTTAGGGATTTCAAAAATGGCATCGAAAATGTAATTTTTAACCTAGTAATGGAATGTCTAGTTTTACCAATAGCCTCATAAATGTTGAATTTATAGACAAATTAGAAGGTGAAACTGATTTTAGTTTTAAAGTTGCTTCTAATTCTAAGAAATAATTGGAGTTAAGGCATCTGCGAACTTCTTTGCCGCTATATATATTAGGGAATAATTAATTTGGTTTATGACTTGTGTGTTGTTTTACAGTTGATGAAACAGATGAGTTCTACAGACACTCCGCTGGGAACACTCAACATGTTGCAGGCCAAACAACGTGAGACTCAGTCCGCCTACGTTGTACTAAGCGGCAACAAGCAACTGCAGGGAGCGTGAGTATATGCCTATTGTTAACCCTCTTAGTGCGAAGGCATCACTCAAAGTCTAATGATGAAGTTATTGTCTTTAGTGCGAGCGTCGCTGGGAGCGACTCTTCAGATTTTATATAGTAGACAACCAATCTGTAGAGATATATTGGTTGGTTAATGCCTCAGTTTAGTTCAAAAGCTTTAAACTATTGATTGCCGGTTCATTTCTAACAAATATATCTGAAAATAATGGAGATCGATATGAGTAATACCCAAGCCTTTGCAACATAGGTTCAAATTGTGTAGTGCAGTCTACCACTTCTCACTATAGAATTGTGTAGAGCGCCGTAGCACTAAGAGAGTTATATATATCTTTATTTTACTATCAAGTAGAGTTGTACAAGCCTAAAATTTATCAAACAAATCTTTTTGGAAGAAAGCTGTATCTCTAAGGGTTCTCCAAGCAGATTTTTTTGTATATATTTTTAGACAATGTTCACATTCCTCGCTATAAAATAAAAGGATGTAACATAGAGCTCAAGGACCTAGGTTTTATGGATTTTTGTTAAGACAGCTTACTTAAAAGGGGAAGAGAGCAATGGCACTGCATACAATAACACAAAAGTTAGAATATTTCAACCACTTACAGGGGCCACTATTGGATTTGAGTCTCCCAACTCAAACTTTCTTGGTTAAAAATGCAGTTTTATTCATGTTTTAAAATTTATTATTTTTAATCAACTTGTATAGCATTTTAATCCATTTAACTTTATTTGTTTCAGGGCTTCAATTTCAAAAACAAAGCTGTGAGTTGGCTGACCCTCCTCAAGAAAAAAGATGACAATTTTTCCTTTACTTTGTACAGAAAAGTTTTGAGTGTTGCCCGTATTATTGAGAATAAAGTTGGTGTATATAAATAAATAAAAATCCTGTGAAGCACTTTATTCAAATTTCCTTCAACTTAAAGAAGTGTTCCAAAATGCCAACACTATCATATACAGATACGCCTAAAATCTATAATTGTTTCGGTTTTCAATTCTGTATGTTTTATTTTCAATATTTTAATAAATTTATTTTCATAAATTTAAATAAATAAAGTGCGAATTAATGAGCTGATGTCACCTGTCTGCCATGTTATCTTATGGGACGTCTGTCACTAAACAACACCACTTGCGACGTTGCCAATTCTACCAGGACGCGGCCTGTAGTTAAAGGTGGCCGTGGTTTGAACAGTCGTAATTATCCCTTTGGTTCATCATAATACATCATACAATACAAGTTATGATATAATCAATGCTCAATAGCATTCATGTCCTTTTTCTTTGTAATGTATTTTGTAATTTGCTACTGTACTGTAGATGATTTGTTACAAGCACGTTACAATCCATTTGTTTACACTTTCGTAAAACTGTCATAACTACTTTGTTTTTATTTGTTTACTTTAATAATTTTTCTCTGCAGCGTTTCTTGATGTAAGCCAAGTCTTTGTTAAAGTGTGACATCCTGGACTTTTATTCAAAATTACACCTTCTCTCCCTCATAACTATTTTCTATTGTTTAAATCTTACCTGGAAAACAAACATTTTAGAATAAAACACCCAGGAATTTACACCAAGCTACACAAAATAGAGTCAGGTGTACCGCAGGGAAGCGTCCTGGGACCAATTCTGTATCTCATATATATGTCAGACATACCCGAAAATCCAAATTTATTTTTATCTACATTTGCAGAAGACACAGCACTCCTAACATCCCATGAAGACCCATTTTTAGCTTCTCAAACACCACAAATTGGCCTTAACAGTCTTTCCACGTGGCTGCAAAAATGGAGAATCAAAGTGAACGAAAGCAAGTCTGCACACATAACTTTCACCACCAGAACAGCTAACTGTCCCCCAGTCCACTTAAATAACGTACTTCTGCCTCACCACAATGAAGTAAAATATTTGGGCATCCACCTCGACAGAAAACTTACCTGGCGAAGCCATATTTGGAACAAACAGCAACACCTAAATTCAAAATTTCGATAAATGACCTGGCTCATGAATAGAAATTCAAAACTGTCAATAGAAAATAAATTATTACTTTACAAGGTTGTCCATTTCTTTGTGGGGAACAGCTTAAAAATCAAACTTGGATATATTACAAAGATTTCAGTCAAAATTACTAAGAACCATCCTGAAAGCCCCTTGGCATGTATCCAAACGTCACCATTCACAATGATAGCAAAATTCCATTTGTTACTGAAGAAGTTACGAGTTGCAGTAAAAAATACATCTCCAAGCTTGAGTATCATCCGAACCATTTGGCCCTCAACCTCCTAGACAACAGTCAACATGTCTACAGACTAAAAAGAGAAAATGTTTTGACCTTCCGACTCGATTTGTGCAGCAGCACTGAAATTTTTTTTTGTTTTTTGTTAGTGCTAAAGCTGTTTAGCTGCTAACTCATGCTTTCCAATTTTTATTTTATTTATATAAATGTCATCATATTTACTTATTGTTTAATGTAAAACAGATTGTAAATAAAACTATGTTAAAAAGAAATTTACTAAAAAACTATGCTGAACAATAAGTAAATGCCATGTAATACAACAAAGTAACTTTTGAGCATTAAAAATAGCTGTTAAGCACTTTCAACAAATTTTTTGATAAAACCCTTTACAAAAATCTGAAGGGCAAGTCCAGAATTGATGGCTTCTTAAGTCTGTAAATTGTATCCGTGTTTAGTAAGTTCAATGCTAAATGATTTTGATGAGATTCTAATTTCGTAATATAACGTTCACTTAAGGTCATGATTTCGTCCTTAACTGTAGGCATCTTAAGGTCTTGATGTAGTGTTCTATTGGTGACATACAAGGTGAATTTGTTATCTTCCTCAGCATTGTCGATTGGTATCTTTGGATAGTTTCTATATTAGAAGTACTCGCCGAGCCCCATAGTTGAGCCCCATAGTTGCACTCCGTATGTCCATATTGGTTTCAATATCTGAATATCATTTTATATATAATTCATTATTGTGTTTGGGGAGTAATATACGTGTTGCTGGAGGGATGTATGTATAAGGTATTTAGAATTACAAGGACACAAAAGTTTTGAACACTTTCCAAATTTTGACAATTAACATAATACAGTATTGGATAAGTTCATACAAGTATTGACTTTATATCTACACTTTGTAGATATAAAGTCAATGATACAAGGCAACACTAGATTGGTTCATAGCCTATCAAGCCCTAAAAAATACAGTAAAATAGATTTAATCACCGTTTACAACCACTGAAAATGAAATGAAATAATTTATAAACAAAAATACTTTTTAAAAATGCCACTTTTTTAAACGGACTAAAAAGTGTGAAATAATTTATTAATATGTTGAGAGAATGAATACTTGTAAGATTTCAATCGAAAAACGTGGGGCTCATGCTAATTTATAATTAACTTCACCTATTGAACTATTATGGTCTATTGCATGCGCCTCCTTGTTTTTCGTTTTAAATCTTACAAACAGTATTTATTCTCTCAACATATTTATAAATTATTTTATACTTTTTAGTGTGTTTAAAAACGTGGCATTTCAAAAAGTATTTTTATTTATAAATATTTTTCTAATTTTTAGTCTTTTATGTGTAAATATGTTAAATTTATTTTACATGGCCTGTTAATATATAGGGTAAACAAAACCTTATTATCTGAGCAGTACCTGTACCTTGGTGGACAGCGCCTTTGCCTTTAGTCCAACCCGCTGAAACAGTCACAATAAGTGCCTGAGGGGCTAGCCATAGCTGACCTCTACCTATGTTAATATAATTAATAATGTTATTTTTTTCATTCTTATATTATACCTAACCTGTAATGCTGATCGGTTAATAAAATTGTTATAAAAAAATAACCTGTACCCTGTACCTCTTAACGTCTGCTTTTTAACTGTCAAATTTAAGTATTTAGGCCTACAGCTGACCTAAACTAATTGATATATTTACATTTTTTTTTTATGTAAACATGGAAAATTGGGAAGCCCAAGGGAAATGTGAAAATTAAATGATATAATATCGCATTGTCATCCATTTGTGAGCTATGTTTCAAGTCTCTAGCTCATCTGTACGGTAAGTTAGTATAAAATTTATTGCAAAATTTGTACAAGAAAGCAAGCTAATAAACACGTTTTAGACGAAAAATCATCTATTTACACGGGCAAAGTTAGGGCCACATGGCCCTTTCTTACACCATTGCAGGTGCAGGGAAATTCGACGTTGTTGGGTTGGTAGTGACGGGACACCGTATGCCATGAGAATTAGGCTTCATTCTTCATTCTTCTTCATCTTCATTGTTTAGTTTAGCCAGTTAGTAAGGACGGTTCGGTAAGGCGCAGTTTGTTGTACCGGTTTTGTGTTGTGTTGTCGTGAATCCAACCTAGAAACGCGGTGAGTGTATGCCTATATTCTCTTAGTTAGTTTTTTGTACTTCGTATAGCATGAATCAGAATCATGCGCTTATTATTGACAAACAAAGCGTTGAACTTTAAGATTGTTGTGTTGTGTTCACTACTGGAAATGTAAAAAAGTAATTAGGCTACACTAGAGGAACTTCAATTCAACAAGTTACCAATAAGTTAGGACACTTATGTGAGGTTCAAACAAGAAACAACCTCCCTTGATAATATTTTCGCTTAAAAGAGTTACTTCTCAACACTAGCCTGTGATATCATTTTACTCTTATGAGTGTACTAGCTGTTGAATACCTGTCGGCTTCGCTCTACACAGCATTGTCACTATTTGGAGTAAATGGATCATAAACCAAATTATGTCACTGGCATGATTGGCGTAAAACATTATAGTTAACATTAGGTCTACTTTGAACTGTCCAAATCATATTTATTTTATTGTTATCAGTACAGTAATCGGGCTAGTTTTGTCATTTGTTTATGTTTACAATGTTCTCTGTTATAATGGGTGACTACGCAACTACAAACGCGCTGGGCCTATAAAATGACCTTTTGCATTAATTTACATAATTACATTATTAGAAGATTTTGAAGAGCATAGGAAAAGGACCCAACACCTTAATGCGAGGATTTTATAAATAAATAGAAAAGTTTGTTTTGATATGAGCAAAGATAAAAAATTAAAAAAAGATCTGTTGAGAATTGGCTGAGTTTGCAGGTTTGCTAATTAATCCCAGTAGCCTATTTACAAAAACTATCAAAAATAAAGATTTAGATTATAATTTTCAATGTTTGTTATATGCATATTTTCCGTCATAATATGAGTTTTATTCGGTACGTTTTTCGGAAGTAAGCATGAACAATCACTCCTAAAATGTGCGTACAGCTGTTATATTAATTAGTGTATTTTTATATAGTATCAAACAACTGCTTTATAATGAAAAAGAAAGCTTCGTAATCGTGGTTAAATGGAAATTGCCTTGTTTTGAGGTACAAACACGAGAAAAATTGAATTTTCAGATTTGACTTAAAACTGATTTCCGTCGAAAACCGTTTGAGAAAGAAAATAACTTATTACTGTTATTTGCTTACCGGCTGTTACTAACTTACCGGCTGTGGTTGAAATCATCCATTCCCGCTCTAGAGCGGTAATGAGCTATTTTGCGTTCTGTTTACAGATAGGTCTATGGCACTGGCAATGCGATCGTTTCCATGCAGTGGTAGGAATATTAAATTGTTTCACAAATTAGCTATTAATAACAATCTGAATTACATTTTACAACCATAATTAATCAAAATGTGATAAAATTGTTGGTTTGTAATGTTTATTGCAAATGTTTATTACACGCAACAGGTTTTATAGGTTAAGTTAAGTCGTTGAATCAATTGTCAAATGGAATAACAAATAATGCAAACACAGCACCAGCTGATTGATTTAGCAGTGTTGCCAACTTGTTTTAACCCAAATATGAATGAAGGATTAGTGTCAAATGTGAGTAGTAGTAGTGAAATGATTTGTGTAACTTTGTTACTGATTAAGATTTTTGTACTTCGTATAGCATGAATCAGAATCATGCGCTTATTATTGACAAACAAAGCGTTGAACTTTAAGATTGTTGTGTTGTGTTTACTACTGGAAATGTAAAAAAGTTATTACTGTTTCATCAATCAGGATCATTAATTAATTTAAAGCCCAGTGAACCCAAATATGAATGAAGGATTAGTGTCAAATGTGAGTAGTGAAATGATTTGTGTAACTTTGTTACTGACTAAGATCAGCTGTTTCATCAATCAGGATCATTAATTAATTTAAAGCCCAGTGATCATGAGCAGCTGACAGCTGACCCCCGTTTCGAACTATAAAAAAACTACAGACTTTTCTCAGGATCGAACCTACCCGTCCTAACTTTGACTTTAAAATTGTATCTAATTTTTCGAAGTCAATTTAGCACCGTTCATTGATGTATAAGGCGCCGTTACGGGTTTAAGAGTCGAGTTTGAAAGAGCACAAAATTCAACGTATATCTTCTTAAGTGTTTTCGCCTCTCACTGGCTAAATTGTTTTTGTCCTGGGCAGATGTAGATTCCCCGCGCCCTTGCCCATCCTTCCAGGAAGGGCGAGTCTTTTGTCACTTTTTGTAAAGCTATTTTTGGATGTTTCCCTTCCTAGAAGCGAAAAAGGCTAGGGTTGGCAACCCTGCCTCTCCCTGCGACCCCAATAAAGATAAATTCAGTCTACTTTACGTGCTTCGGCTTCGGCATTTCTTCAAAGATTCATTTCAGTGTAACTGCTCAAATAACTGAATCCAATTTAGGCAATTGTATGTGACTAGGGATGTCATACAGTATTGTATTTGGTTTAACTGGCTTATGTCATACTCTATGCCATATTATGTTTTCTGCTATTGGCACAACTGTCATTTCCTCCCTCTTGTCAGATCAGATTACACAATAGGCTACGTTGGTTTTGTCAAGATGTCTGTGCCGTCATTTTAAGTCATTCCAATTCCTGCCTATCTCTTATAGACATGGAGCAGTCGGTCATTGAGGATGTAGTCGGTCAGTTAAAAAGTGCTAAATGTTTAGCATATTTGATGTATTTGAATTAATTTGTACTATACAGATGTTACGTGTCGTATTGTAACTATACACTCAACACACGAAACGTCCAACACGTTTACTTTAATTATTTTGTCTGCTTATTTTGAAAATAAATACCTATAAGTCAGCAGTTTCAAGCTTCCCAAAATCCCAACCATAGCTTCAAATACCCAAAAAATTCCCAGCTTTTACACTTTTGGAAGACTATTGTGAGGGGGTGGGGGTGGCTCCCACCCTACCACCCCTTGGGTGGAAAACGCGGTGACGCCCCTGTATGTGACGTAGGTACCGTTGCCTTTGAAACGTTCTACACTCATCCTTACATCATTCACTCATATTTGGGTTGAAATACGCACCTAGGTGACGTCCCCATCTCAAATAATAGATAATTATATGTAAGCGACTGTCGTAGAGCTAGCCAGAGGGAGCTCTTTATGTGAGAGTTTAATTAATTTGGTCGTTTGAAAAGGAATACTCTGTGTAATTATTTTTACCTACGACCGTTTTTTAAAGTAGCCATTTCAGTTCAGTTCTTAGAATTGAAAAGTTTTTTCTGTTTACTTTCATAACAGCATAGTTTCATTTCATATCAGCATAGTTTTTCTCATATCAACACGGGTTAACGGACCAATGAGGTTCAAGGATTGAGAGAAAAGAGGTACGTAATACTTCGAACGTCAACTAATCAGCTGATCAGTTGACAATTTTAATTGTTGATCCGGCTTGTTCCTGTTGATACGTATTCTTAACCTAAGTTCGTGGAAGTTAAATGAAGGTTGATTTTAAAATATCAGTTAGTGAAAGTGATGTTGACGAGATAGAAATGAGAGCACAAACTGTTTGTGCTAATCTTTTGCCACCAAAATCAAAACAAAGGTACCATATGCAATTACATACCAGCAATTCATTAAATGGACGAAACAAAATAAGGTTAAATTGATAAATGAAAATGTTCTTCTGGTTTATTTTGAAAACCTCTTAACCACTTTTTCACCCAACTCGTTGTGGACCACATATTCGATGCTGGAGATCTAACTGTAAATTAACTGTTTCACTATATTATTCAGTTGTCCAAAAATACCGGGTGTCCCACGAAGGGGTTTAAACGTTTGATTTTATATTACGAGCCCATTCATGCACCGAACCTTTTTAAACTTTACACAGTTTACAAAGTAGGTTCTAAAAATATTCTGGAAAAATTTCAACTCCCTAAGTAGAAACAAAATGGCGGCTTATTGACAAATTTACCAATGTGCTTTCTATAAAAACTACTTTCATGATTTATTATTAGTTATTTATTTATTATTATTATTTATTAGTTATTTGGTTAATTTTTAGTTTTCCATTTGGCTATGTTCTAATTTTTTCTTGTTTTAAAGTCATATTGCCCTGGAAAGTAACAATAAAAATATTTTATAAAACCAAAAATACCTTTTTTAATGTATTAAAGTAACTTTTTCAATATGCCGCCATTTTGTTTCTACTAAGGTTAGGGAGTTGAAATTTTTCCAGAATATTTTTAAAACCTACCTTGTAAACTGTGTAAAGTTTCAAAAAGTTCGGTGCATGAATGGGCGCGTAATATAAAATCAAACGTTTAAACCCCTTCGTGGGACACCCTATATGCAATATTTCCCTAATTGTACCTGATACAGTATTTATGGTAAGAATGCTGCTAGCGGAACCTATTGCCTGAGAAAGTAACGTATTATTTAACAAAGTTTTACAAACACGTAATTACATGAAATCAGCTGATTATACAATAAGTCGTATACAATAAGTCGTTGCATCACTTTCAGTGACAATGACAATAAACGAAAACATAACCTCTCTAGGAAGTTATGAGTACCGGTAGTGATTGTTAGTAATAAAAAACCAGATTTTTAGTAATTAAAAAACGGTCGTAGGTAAAGTAGTGTACGCAACTCGCGTTAATAGTCTTTACGCAATCGTTGCGTAAACTACTATTGTCAGGTGACAGGCTTCAACCGGTCTAAATAATATTCGAAGTCCGACCTATCAGAACATGTAGCCTACTGGGTCTCTTACCAACAAACCGGACGTGGTTTTGTGCTTTTTGCATCCTAATTAATTACCTAGTTTTCGGATGCATGATAAATTCACGTCGTCACACCACACATGCATTTACTTTTCACTACAGATGTAATCATACTCCCTGCGTGTGGCCATTAAACTTTGAAATATGCAATGTTTTATCCAATTCAACAATACACCCTTGAACTAAACATTTCAACCGACTTAGCAATTGGATTAGACCATTTTAAACCATTTGTACCTGTACACATTTTTACTTATACACTTTGATTAACTTTTTCTAAACTGTTATAGCGTTGCAAACCGTATATCACGAGATAAACCCGAGATGTTTGGAACCCCGTTGAGCACCGGTTTCAATTGGTAAATTGTGAGTAGTTGTGAGTCTAACTGAGCCTGTGGGTCCTTTAATGGGTGACTAATGCAGCTTACATCTTTGTCAAGTAGACAAGTGTTTTACGTCGAGTTTGTGCCGGGGTTAGCGTAAATTATACATCTTCACGTACATGGGTCCGATCGGTCAAGTGTTAGGGTTATCTGTTATGGAAGTATCTGTTATCGTGCGAATTAAAACTGTTATTAGAGTTTATTTCCTACGTCAAAATATTATCTTTAAAAATTTAGTTAAAAGCCTCTTCGCTGAGAGAAGAGCTGTCTCTTACCCCACAAAAACCAACAATAATGTTTAAACAGTAAAGGGTTATTGAATAAACACAGCGTATGAAATATATTTTCAAGCTAGATAATTTTAATACCGTCAATAACCTATGCAATTTTTAGGCCAATTTATACACTTTTCCATAGTATGGAAAAAAGTATAGACTATGATACAAGAGTCTCCTCGACGAAGAACTGCCCTAGGAGATCCATCTCCCTCCAAAAAGAGGCATTTGATAAAATGTTGTTCACGTTATGTTTAAGACTTAAAACCCACTAAACAAGTGTAAGAAAATGGCAATGATAAATTGGAACTTAATCGAATAGTTTTCTGATTATCACATCGAGTTTCAAATAACTTTTTAATAAGAAAATGTTGATCTAGAACTAAGTTACCTCCAAACATTATGCATTCTATCGACAACTTCATTGCTTACACAAACGTGTAGCCAAAAAATCCCTGTAAATTCAATGTTCGTGCCTATTTTGTTCAAATAACACACAAAGCGGAAATTCGCCGACGTTCGATATTCTGGTTGACATTTCTCTAGGAACTGAATGTGATGAGTAAGCAAAGCAGAACATGAGCGTTGTTACTGAGTCGATTCTTGAAGCGGACACCTGTGTTAGCACATGTTGATGGTGCGATCTTCAAGGCATGTTTTGAATGTATAAACAATTATGTCTTCCTTTTCAAGTGATAGTTTTCCAGGTCGGACATAGTCGCACATTTCAGCCAGACATTATTTACATCGACGTTGTGTTTTAGTTTATTTAAAAATAAATGTTTTGCAAATTTAACACGGTTTTGCTAACATTGCACGTTTTCAAGGCAAAGCATCGCAGGAAGACGTTTTCTGCCCCCTTCGCTCTACCCTTTTGAACACAGTTTTGAAAATAGGTAAAAAATAAAGTTAATAATTCCCAAAAGTTTAACTGCCCAAACATTTTTTGTTGAATAATGTACCTAGACGTTTATAATATTTCGGTATTGGACAAGACTAATAAATGTCTTATTTCAATGTATTTCTTATATTTTCTGTTTGTATACTTCGACCGACGGAAATTTATCACTGGCACTCGGAATGATTTAAAACTACTGAAACAAATGCTATTGCGCAACTTCTCACGTAACACAGTGTGGTTGTAAACAGTTAACCCGTTGGTTTTAGGTTTTAAATTTAAACATACACTTGTAAAATCTCAAGAGTATTTGAATTTGTTATATGTTTGGTTAACTTTGCTTGCGTCTGTGGTGATGAAATTTTGTACTATTTTTGGATCGAACGTGCTTTCTGGTCTTACTTAGAAATAACCCAGCAGAACACTAGAGAACAAGGAGTAGTAATCAAAGATTTCAAACACTTTTTAAATAATTTGAAGGTTGTTCAAATAACAAGATATTTGAACATTGAACACTCTTTGCACATGACAGAAAAATGTATTATCTTTTCAGTTTATCCATAAACTATGACGAATCTATAAAAGCGAGGCTTAAACTATTGTATCCTATATACGTATCCCACAACGTTTGGCTTTCTGAACTCAAGTGCCAGTTATGTCTGTAGAATTGACTACAAACATATTGAGGTCAAATTAGTATATTTTTGGTGTTTGTAAACTAAATAGATGACACCATTCTTCTAACCAATTTCGGTTGGTTCTTTTATTTATAGTAAAAGGCTCCAGTTTGGTCAAAACTGCGCGAATGGACGGGTCACTACCCGTTAGTTACATATAAAACTAACTAAGTTAGTTTTATATGTCGATGGTCGCTACTAGCCGAATACGGCCTGGCAGAGATGGGGGTAGGGGCGAGTCTCATGGGGGTGAGTGAGTAGCTAGACTCAAATTTAATGTTTTCAGAAAGTTACCCCACCAACGGCGCCAACTCGTAGACCCCAAGACCCGACCAGATGGTGGCGCGCACAGAAACGTTGACCGAACTGTACAGCTTGTCTCAGTAAAAGAAAAAAATATCTCTCTCCATTCTAGTCTACCCTGAATTCTTTATCAGCTTTTAACACTTGTGTGTGATTGAACAGATGGATGATTACGTAGGCTCTGGCTAGACTAAACATTCTTGTGATCGACGTGATATACAATGACTAACGCCCGAGGCGGTTCGAGGTCAAACCTACTAGACGATAAAAACTGAAGCAAAAGGTCGACTAAAAATAATAATTCACATTAATTTTGATATACACATCGTCAAGTGAACTAATCGAACAAAATTTGTAACCAGG